GGGGGGGGGAGAAGGTTCAGGAAGTAGGGTTTTTTTTAAATAGCTTGCCATTTAACAAAAAAAGTTGTTCTAGAATATGACAAAGAAATATATTTTATCCCTTCATAATCCTTCACATGTATACTCTTCTGTATACAAAAACCTGGTTACCTGGTTTCTTGTGTATAATTTTAAAATCTAAAATATTTCTAAAGAAATACATGCAACATAAAGGCCTCTATAGTGTGGGAAGAATTTGAAGTGTAATTGGTTTTAAGGAGTACGGACTCAGGCAAATGCAGACTGCTTTTGCAAAACCTCATTTTACTTACACATAAAATTCTGAGAACTGTCTGACATGACAAATGTCAAGTACAAGTGTTGAATTACTCCCCCTTGTCATCACTGTGTGTATCATTTGACACAAAGATAAGCCTAATGACTCAGATGAGACTAAAAAAATGAAGAAAAAAAAGAAGGCTTCAGCAAGAACAGCTTGCAAAACAAAACACAGAGGGCTGTGCTGCCTCTGTAAGCATCTAAACAGAACACAAAACACTGCCAGGGTAAGCAGGCAAACATAAAAGAGAAAAATCTCCAGAGCAAATGCAAAACAAGTCTATAGCTGCATTTTTCTGAAAATTCTCTAGGACCAACCCTTTACGAATAGGTCAGTCAAGAAATCTGCATTTGGATTCTAGATCAATCCATGTGCATTTTACATGAGCTCAAACACAGCATTCAGGCTTTTTCCAATGAGATTCCAGACCCTTTTACAATATCATAGCTTACTGAAGCAACAAGCCATACACCTTTTAGGATAATAATGTGATAGGGTTAGTTTGCCAGCCAACTGGCTACCTAAGACAAGTCTTCAGTGATGTACAGGGCTTGGCAGCTCATTCAATACCCATCACAGTTCAAATCCATCACAGCCAGCCATGAGAACTACTCTGTTCACCTATGCTGGATTTTTTAAAGGAAGAGAGAAAGGGTTCTATTTTGAAAATATTAACATCTTTACTATCTGTGCATTACAATTGGTAGGATAGCCTGTACCGTCCTAGTAACACCATACAAAAGGCATCTCAAGGAGACAAAAGTACAAAGTGAAATGAGAACAAACATAGATTTCTGCTCTTCTGTCTGGCAGGAATATCTAACAGAGACAAAACTGGAGTTCATAGGTTGCAGTTCAGTTGTCAGTTAAACTGGCTAATTGATGCAATTAGCTTATAGAGAGAGGGTCCTATACAAAAGGTCAGTGGTAGCTATGAAAAGAAGCTTTGCCTCAGTGTAGACGATTGTGAAAACTATATATACAATTATACAAATTGCTTGAGATACTGTTGGTAGAGAAGGTTAATTCAGCTCAAACCCTCTTCTGAGAATAAGGTGAGCCTAAATAGTACAATAATATAAATTTAAGACAATTACAGTATCTATATTTCAGGACCTATTGTTTTATTCTCAGCCTAGAATTGCAAAAGCTTCCCATTATTTCAAACAAGTGAACAAATGAACATCGGTGGATCTTAGCAACAGAAACTTTTAATTCTAACCTATGTCGTATTTGATGTCTCAGCAAAGTGTAACACTTCAAACACTTCTGTATGAATACAGTGAACTTGCTGCACTGTAACAACAACTGAACTCATCAACATACTCACATTTCTGACCCAAGACCCAGCATTCCACTCCTGATGAAAAGCAACGGGTACTTGATTGCCCCAGAGCTCTGGACTA